AAAATGCTTTTCCTTTTCTTTCAATTTTAAGTTTTTTGAACTCAGTCTCTTCCCCACGTGTCAGCACGGATGTAAATTCTAATCTAATCGCAAAAAAGGGTGAACGATCGATTAATTATCGGAATTATTTGAATAAAAATCGACAAACCAATAGTTTTGATCATAATTTACGATAAAACGACTTATTGCGAAATTTTAGCGATTGATAAAATAGAATTTGTTGCAAATGTTGCACATTTTTAGGTCGGCATGTCAAACTGTACTGGGAAATAGACGTGTAATTAATTCATATAATTATGTGTATATGTATGTAAATATATATGTATATGTGTATATATGCATATATGTGTATATATATATATATATACATATATATATATATAGTTTCGCAAGATATGATGCGATTAATGTCATTGCACTATTTATGGGTAAATCGAAATACAAGTTTTTGCAGTGCAAGCAAAAATTTTAACGCAATACTTTTTGTCGATAATATAATTATAAAAAACTCTTTAAACTACTGATTCTAATTTCCAAAAGTAGCTTAATATTATTTTTAATTTACAAAATTTTGATAATTCAAATTTTGCAATATTTGAATTAGTTATGTGCAATGTTGCGGAAAAAGTCTTGGTTCAAATTCTACGCATTTAAATTTTTTACAATTTGTTTTAATATAAAAAATTAATAGTAAACACAAAATATGTTTTTAAATAATACAATTTTAATAATAATGTAATAATATGTATAATAAATAATAAAAACTTTTTAAGTTTGGCAATTTTTTTTTCAAGTAAACAGTTTTATGCAAAAAACTTTTGTTAACAAATTTTAACAAATTACTCAATTTATTTATAATTCTAAATATACATTTTTCTGTAATGTTTTATAAATTTTTCATCAAAAATTCAGCCTTAGGTAATTGAAAACAATTTTTTCCAAAAAAACAGTTAAAAAATTCTTGCAAATCAATTATGTAAAAAAATAATACACGTTAGTATATATTACATTCATGAAAAAAATTATTACAAAACTTTCAAAAATTGTTTATTTTAGCTCAATATTCGTTCTAAATAAAATAAAAATATTTTCAAGATTTTTTACTATTTGAATTCGTGATGTGAAATTTTACTTGAAAAGTCTTGCATAATTTTCAATATATTTAATAAAATTGAAATATGAGTAATGTATATATTGAATAAAAACAAAATCAAACATGAAGTAATATATTGTAAAAATTTTCTCTGAAAATTATGAATTCCTCTATGAAATTTATTTTATAATTTCAAGATGCAGCTTTTCTGAAGATTGAACATATCTAGTTTTGAAACGTTGATAAAAAATATTTAATTTAGTATGCCTATTAATTGTTGTTAATTACTGTGTAATTATTATTGTGCATTTTTATTGAAATAAATATCCAAATAAAATATAAGCAAAATTGAATAAAAAAAATGTTGTTTTTTTAGAAAGATATTGGCCAATTTCTAGAGAGATCAGAATTTCTACAAAATTTTACTTAGAATAATTCAATAAGATATTTATTTATAGATATTAAATATTTATTTCTTTATTTATTTTACAAGCCGTCGATATAATAATATTATAATAAGGCTCAAGTCAATATTTTGCAGATTTAATATAATTTAATTAACTATTAACTATTTTATTACTCATTTATTTATTGTTTAATTTATTTACTATAAACTTATTTATATTTAGTTAATTTTAATTATTTTTAAATATAACTAGTTTCTTTGTTGCAAGTATTTTTTAAAAATTTAATAATAATTTTAATAAGCTTTATAATACTTTTATGCTATAATTATTTTATTTAACAAATTTTAGGTTATTTTATGATATTTTAACAAATTTAAGTGACGTATATTACTATTATTATTATTAAATGTAATTACAAAAGAAATTTGTAATTACAGGGCAATTGTTAGACAAATTATGACAACATTTTGGTAGTATGGACAAATACTTCGTTTATAAATAGTAGCGAACTTGAAATTATCTATTCTCATTTTTAGTACTTAAATAATTAATATAGATAAAAGTATATATATACATATATATATATATATGTATATAATTATAATTGTATATTATTTCGGTGTCATATTAGCTTTGGAGTGAAGCAACTGCGTTATCCTAAGGAAGGTGTTGTATTACAAAAACGAAACGTTGTGCTTGTCTAAGCAAAATCCCACACTCCATACAGAAAAGTTTATGACCTTCATCGGTGTCGGAGCACTTATATAAAAATAATTATAATTATATATACATATATATATATATATATATATATATATATATATTTTAGGGTGGTCCTTGATATAGATATTTTCGAATTTCCTTGCTCCCAAAAACTCAAATGGTTCCAAGTTGATAAAAAACAATTCTCTGAAAGCTTTAGTTCTTAATATTAACGTTTAGATAGAGCGCTATTCAATCAAAGTTTTGTATGGAAACAGCATAAAAAAATTTCAAAAACTTTGCAGAGCGTCGAATTTCCAATAAAAAATTTCTAGCCATTTCTAGTAGAGAATCTGCATTCATTTTTTTCCCTATATTATAAAAGTAAGTGTTGCATGAGAAAGCCATTGTATCGTTTAAAAATACATATTCATGGACTTTGGTTTTAAAATTCATTAATTTAGAACCTTTATGTACAATATTTTAAAATATGACATAATACAAATGTACGTCGAAACGTTTAATAAAATAACAATTATATCAAATGTATATCGATAATCCGGTAAGATTATATTTTTGTTATCTTTATCATTTTTTGTAAGTATTCAACGTGATTATTTATTCACATATCAAAATGATTTTATATAATGAATATAAAAGTCTTAAATGAATAAAACAAATGATATGAATCTAAAAGATTTAATAGTTGTTCCATCTATGTTTCACGCTTTAGCAAAGACTTGTACTATTGCATGAGCAATAGAGTCGTTAGTAAACTGTAATATTTTCAACTAGAGTTCAAAACATTTTGTGTAAAAAATAAAATCAAGCAGAGTGCTCTAAAATTTAACAGAGACTTCTAAAAATGAACAGAGATTTTTAAAATTAGACAAAGACTTTTAAAATTGAACTGAGTTCTCAAAAAACAATTTTTTTGCTAAAACAGAGTTCTAAAATTAAAATTTTAAAGATGTTTAAAATCAAAAAGACCTCTCTAAAATCTAATAAATCCAATGAAATCAAAGACACCATTCGAAAATTTATTAAGGCATATAATGTCAAATAGGATTCAATAAACAGAATTCTCTAAAATTGAACAGAGTGCTCCAAAATAGCACAAAGTGCTCCAAAACTGAAAAACTCAAACAAAGTGCAATAAAATCAAACAGAGTGCTCTAAAATTGAACAGGGACATTTAAAATTAAACAAAAAAACTAAAATCTAACAAGAGTCTTCTGAATTCAAACAGACTTCTCAAATGGGGCAAACTCCTCTAGAATCAAACACAGGTCTCCTTTAAAATTAAACAGAGTGTTCTAAAATGCAACAGAGTGCTCTACAATCAAACAGACACTTCTAAAATCAAGCAGACACTTCTAAAATCAAAAAAATACCTATAAAATCAAACAGAATTTTTTAAAATTAAACAGAGGCTTCCAAAATCAAATGGAGCCTCCGAAAATCACGAATCGAACATGCTTTTCTGAAATCGAACAAGTTCTTCTAAAATTGATCAGAAATTGAAATGAAATGAAATTTTGCATAGTCTCCGAAAATTGTGCATAGCCTCCTAAAAATCGTACATAGCCTTCTAAAAATCGTTCATAGTCTCCTAAAAACCGTACATAGCTTCCTAAAACCATACATAATCGCCCAAAATCGCACAAAGCCTTCTTAAATTTGTACAGAGCCTCCTAAAATCGTGCATAGCCTCCTAAAAATCGTTTATAGTCTCCTAAAAACCTAACATAACCTCCTGAAATTGTACATAGCCTACTAAAAATTGCACATTGCTTCCTAAAAATCGCTCATATCTAGTTTTTCCGTATCTAACTGAAAAATCGTACTTAGCCTCCAAAAATCATACATAGTCTCCTAAAAATCATATATAGCCTCCTAAAAATCATACATAGCCTCTTAAAAATAATACCTTGCTTTCTAAAATAGTACATAATCTCTTAGAAATCGTACATAGCCTTCTAAAAATCGTTAATAACCACCTTAAATCGTACATAGCTTCCTAAAAACCGTACATATTCTCCAAAAACAATCAATTAACAATTTTATTCATTTAACAATTTTAATGATGTTAATTAATTTTAACAACTTTAATGATTTTAATTAATTTTAACAATTTTAATGATTTTTATTAATTTCAACAATTTTAACAATTTTATTCATTCAACAGTTTTAATGATTCAATTAAATTTAACAATTTTAAATATTTTAAATAATTTTAACAATTTTAATGATTTTATTGAATTTTATTATTTTAATAATTTTATTTAATTCATATATTTTATTGAATTTTACTAACATAGCCTCCAAAAATCGTTCATAGCTTCTTAAAACATTACATAGCTTCCAAAAATAGTTCTTAGCCTCCTAAAAACCTATCATAGCCTTCTTAAATCGTACATAACGTCCTAAAAATCGTACATAGCCTCCTAAAAATCGTACTTAGTCTCCAAAAATCATACTTAGTCTCCTAAAAATCATACTTAGCCTCCTAAGATCGTACATAACGTTCAAAAAATTGCACATAGCCTCCTAAAATCAAGTAGAACTTCCAAATTCCTTCAAATAATAAAAACCTTAACATAATTTGTAACTTTCATTATATTTTTACAATAATATATACAAACCGATATAAACTTTACAAAATTATCGTAACAAATATTAAACTAATAATTTCATAATTTAATACAAAACTTAACAACTAAGAAAAACAAACAAACGACTAGTTTAATATTTTGATATGACAATGATAAATGATTAAGTATATCTTAATTTGGACCTAGCTTTATAATTTAATATATACAAAAATAATTTTAATGGAATGCAAATGGATTTTACAATTTTTTCCTATCAATGACTCGTTCCGTTGACCAATGTGTCGCCGTAATGGGTTATCATATAGTCGTGGTAGTACATCATTATGGCCAAAGGTTGGCCCAGGATTATGGAGGACCATACCACGATGTTTCCCCATCTGGGTCCGACGTTTATTTCCATAAATCGAGATATGAAGGATAAAGGAATCTGTGCCATCATGCCGGTGAATGCCCAGATTTGGAAGGTTTTTAGGGGTACGCTCACCTGGAAGAAAAGAGGGATGAAATATATTTAGTATGAGATTTATATACATCCATCACCTGATATATCTGATATATCATATCCATAAATTTATTTATATATTCATAATTTTTAACTTCCCGTAGGGCAGTTATAGTAATGGGCAGAAAATCGAAAATGAAAATTATTGCGTTTCTCGACGTTTTGAAGGTATCTGAACATTTTTAAGGCATACCTCAGAAACTAAATGGACTAAATTGAACTAAATGGAAGTGTGTGTGTGTGTGTGTGTGTGTGGAGACAATTATTAATCGACGATTTCGGGCGCACAGATCAACCGGTTTGAATGATTCATTTACCATTCGATCCCTATCGATATGGAGATGTGCTGATTAGTTTTTGGCAAAGGCAGGTCCAGCCGTTACAGAGATACGGAGCAAAGAGTGCAGAAAATAAAAATAGAATTTTTGAGAGAACGGATCATCCAAAATAAAAAGGGACTCTACTGACGAGCAAACTTGATTTTGATTTAAGATCTAACTAGTGGGGTGGGTGGCATCGTGCCTTAAGACAAATTGCTGGAACTTCCCGTACCGTAACGAAATGTTCGAGGAATACTGAATGTTTTCAAATAGATTATTATAAATATTGTAACATTGTCTAATATTTATAAGAATTATATAAACTGAATTGCAAGTTGAAATTATTTGTTTCAACAAAAAACTAAAAAAAAAAAAAAAAAAAATGGAACAAAAAATTTTTTTTTTCCAAAATCAATTATTTTGTTAAGACAAGCAGAAAGTTTTTTGAATCATTCAAATCGGACGCTTAGTTCTCTCAAAAACTGCCATTTTTTTACATATTTAGCTCCGTATCTTTGAAATGGCCGGGCCTGCCTTTGCCAAAAACTAATAAACACTTCTTCCAATCATTACTAATTGAATGTTTTTTAGATCATTCAAATCGGATACTCCGTTCTCTCAAAAATTCGATTTCTATTTTCCGCACTCTTTGCTCCGTATCTCCGAAACGGCTGGACCTGCGTTTGCCAAAATATAATCAGCTCTTTTCCATATCAATAGGAATCGAATGTTTTTTGAACCATTCAAATCGGTTGATCCGTGCGCCCTAAAACGTGACTGGAAATTTGTATCCACACACATACACACACACCACACACACACACACACACACACACACACACACACATCCATTTTTTCTGAGGTATGCCAAAATGTTCAGAAACCTTCAAAACGTCGAGAAATGTAAAAATTTTCAATTCCGATTTTCGGCCCATTACAATAACTTACCCTACGGGAAGTTAAAAAGGGACTCTACTGACGAGCAAACTTTAATTTTGATTTGAATCTTAAAAAGGAACTCTACGAACAGCGAATTAGATTTTAAACTAAAAGACAAAAAAAGAACTCTACTGACGAGCAAACTTAAAATTTTAATCTATAATAAAAAAGGAACTCTACTGACGAGCAAATTAATTTTCAAACTACAAAACGAGCTAAAATGACTACTGACGAGCAAACTTGATTTTGATCTAGAATCTAAAAAAGGGTTTTAAAAATAAATTTTAAACTAAAAATTAAAAAAGAACTCTACTGACAAACAAATTAAATTTTAAACTGAAAGATATAAAAAGGACTCTACTGATGAGTAAACAAATTTTAAACTAAAATATATAAAAGGGATTCTACTGACGAGCAAATTAAATTTTAAACAGGAAGATGAAAAAGGGATTTTACTGACGAGCAAATTAAATTTTAAACAGGAAGATGAAAAAGGGACTCTACTGACGAGCAAATTAAATATTAACAGGAAGATGAAAAAGGGACTCTACTGACGAGCAATTAAATTTAAAACAGGGAGATGAAAAAGGGACTTACTGACGAGCAAATTAAATTTAATCTGAAAAATCAAAAAGGGGCTCTACTGACGAGCAAATTAAATTTCAAACTACAATATAAACAAAACGAGCGAACATGATTTTGATATAAAATGTAAAAAAAGACTTTACTGACGAGCAAACTTGACGTGAATTGATGGAGAAAAGTGAATTTTCCAATAGAAAACTTATGGAGAAACAGTCAACTTTCCAATGGAAAATTGATTGAGAAACAGTCAATTTATTGGTGGGAAGGAACCGATGAAGAAGCAGAAAACTTTCTGTAGGAGAAACAGAAACTTTCTGTAGTAGAAACAAAACAATCTGTAGGAAAACAGAAAAGTTAGTGTATGAGGATAAGACAATATTCTGATCAAACACGTCAAGATTCAGTTTGTAATATTATTAAGTTTCTAGCTTCCACCACCTTCCTGGTAAAAAAATAATAAATAAATAGATTTTGTCCAAGCAAAAGCCAATTTATATGAATAATTTGAAACTATTGGATATGATATTATCGATGCAACAAATAAAATGATGATGGATGTAGATAATAAATACTTATGCATGCATCTACTTACTGCGTTAGAATTAATGAAAAAGCACATTTGTTAAAGCACTAATAAATATTATAAACTAAAGTGAATGAGCAATGAACACAACACTACACTACATGTGTAAAAACACTTTTGGAAATATTTTGGATGACACGATGTACTCAAAAATAATAAAATAACATGCAAAGCCATTGCAAAAATAAATGAAAATAAAAATAAATAAAATTACTTACCAAGTACTCGTGTAACAATGCACTTATCAAAAAGACAACAATGCCTGCTGTAAACTTTCCACAACCAAACTCGACTATAGGAATGTATAAATGTCTTACACACCTAAAAATAAAATGAAGAAAAATTTTTATTTTACGTTTCAAAACTGCGGAAGTAGTTTTTATTGAATTTTGACTGATTTCACACTACATATATTGAATCACAGTCTATACAATTGATTCAAAGTGATAAACAGATTTCTTAGAAGAATTATTGGTAAAAAGGTTGGCACACAAGTCTTTATTAAATTTAATGGAATCTAATTCATTTTATTAGAAATTACATAAAAAATCGAATTTTATTGCATTTTAAAATTATTTATATTGTAATTGGTCTTATATTATTATATTATTTTTTATCATTATATTTTAATATTATGTTTACCATTTATGAACAGGCATATTCCAAGTCCTCCAGAACGTATCAATATTATTAGCATTCCACCAATCAGCATAGAAATTCCTATCAGCAAAATGCAAAAGTTCACCAATTAAATTTAAAAACGAATGGAATGTCAAGTAGAAAAAGCACAGCCACATTAGATGGTTTGGAATCTAGAAATAAAAAAAAATCACAATTTAAAATTAAATTTTAAATTATCTAGTTTAATAAAACACGCTTCTGCGAAACGTCCTTGGTTACTCACAGCCAATTTTAACAAACGTTCTGTAATTTTCGTAATATCCATTGTGGAAAAAGGTGTCAGGGAATTTTTGACAGAAGGTATCATCCATTGTTGAAACAATGACATTACTACGTGAATTCCAACGACGACTTCGAGTAGACGTTTTAGCAAAAAACGTTTACGAATCCTAAAGAAAACATTAAACTTTATATAAAACTCGGATAAAATTAAATTTTACTTGTATTTTTTTACCTCGATGTTCTGGGAAAGTTCAGCTCGTAGCACAAAGTTGGTGCAACCAGGAAATAGTACAGGTCTTTCAGGCTCAGGTTGTCAGGATATTTCACAATACCCTTGGGATCTTTCTCTAAAGACTTGGCTGAACCGTTTTTCTCACCTTCATCTACAAAAAACATTATTTTATACCAGCACAAAAATGTTTTTCGACATTCGGTTTGCGTCGCATTTAGTTTGCTGTAAAAAAATTAATTATGAATATTCCTTTCGACATTCGGTTTGCGCCGCATTTAGTTTCCCATAAATTTCTTTATATTTTTTTAGGTTTTACATAATTTTTTTTTACTTACTGAAGCTTACAGATAAACTTTGTCTCCTCTGTCTGTTTTTTTCCTGTCGAGGTCTTTTTAAATTTTTTCTGCACCACAAATTTACGTGTACGTAGCTCCACAGTTTGAGAAACAGTATTGCGTACACGAAACAAACTGTGGTTCCACCAACTAAAATTAAAAAATTAAAGATCAGATTTTTGTTACTCAAATACCAAAATATATCATTGCGTTTATTTAGTATGATTTGTTTCTGTATAGGGTATGTCATCTAACATTTTTCATTTTCATTTTTTTCAACGCTCAGCCGAGACATTTTTTCTTCATTTTTGAATGAAATTATTATAACATTATTAAATGAATTAATTTCATTATTAACTTCCCGAAGGAGAAGTTTATGTTTTCATCAAAAAACCCGATTCGCTAATTTTATGTTTTCTCGACGTTTCAAGCCATTTGAATCGAATGAGACCAAGTTTGGAAAAAGTATGTGTGTGTGTGTGTGTGTGTGTGTGTGTGTGTGTGATGTGAACAGATTTTTTGCCGTAAAATCGACGTTCTCGAAAACGGCTGGGTCGATTTCAAAAATTTAAAAGCCATTCGATGTATCTCGACGAGAAATTTGTTTGTCAGTTTTGTGCGACGATCGGCCAAGCCGTTTCTTCATAAATGGCAGAAAAGTGAAAATTTTTCGTCTACGTTTTAGCCCGCAATTCTGAATCGATTTTGAAAAATCAAAAACCGTTCGAAAGATATTGGTTGGGATCGTGCTGATTAGTTTTTGGTAGAGATCGGCCGAGCCTTTTCTTGTAATAAAGTTTTTTAAAAAAAAAATTCGACGATTTTATGATTATTTTTTTGACGATAGATACCATAGTCTTCTAGATCATACTAAAATATTACGGCCCTACGACAACTGGTTCAGCTTTAAAAATTCGTCAAAGTTTGCAAAAATTAGTATGGTCTTTTTGGCATTTGTCAAAATTAGACTTTTGATCGACGTTTTCTCAAAAACGCCTGAACCGATTTTAGAAATTTAAAAGCCATTTGATGTATTTCGGTGAGGACTATCGTTTGTCAGTTTTTGTGCAACGATCTGCCAAGCCGTTTCTTTGTAATTTGAAAAAAACTTTCGTCCACATTTAAGCTCATCCTACCGAACGATTTTAAAAAATCAAAAACTGTTCGAAAGATATTAGTTGGGAATGATACTGATTAATTTAGGTGAAAATCTACCGAGCCGTTTTCTTGTAATTA